GGATCTGTATTTAATCTAGGCTAATCCTGTCCTGTTTCCAAGTTTTAAAGATTTTAAATGGTCTATGTTTGTCCAAATAACAATTATTACAACTTTTTTCTGATTTGCAAGCAGATTCAGCAGCATCTTTGTATACATATATCCATTATGTCATAAAAACTGATGGAAATATAAAACTAGAGAACTGAGTATTGAAAAGTATGAACATTTGGTAAATGGGAATAAAGAAGCTGTGGCATACTGTTGGAGTAAATATCCAATTAAAAATTTTATTAGAATATTTTTATTGTGTTGACCTAATGTGATACATTTAACTTATGCTGCATCTTCTTGAGACAGTGTTACTTTAAAGCAATGATTTGCTGAGGTAAAATCATATTTGTTGACATGTGAACTGCAGTTACAGCATCATTTAAACCTTATTATTGAAATGCTGCTTAAATAAGTGGTAAAACTGATGAAAATTTGATTTTTTTTTTTTTTATTATGAAGTTTGTCTGTAGCACTACTGAAAACAAAATACAATAATGACATATGTTGTATTGGTGAGAGATTATTAACTAATCAAAACAACTGAATAATTTTACCGTCCTGCAGATCTAGAAAAACTCAGCACCTTCAGTCAGAGGTTCCCTCTCCCATCCATGTATAGGATTCATGTTTGGAAGGTGCTGCTGGGTAAGAAACCACACACACACACACACACACACATTCACCAAAATATCTGCTTGTGCTTTTTTTAGACTAATACTTCCTTTTAAAATTGAAGAAAAATGAACAGAAAGCATTTAAAGCACACAGCAATCACTTGTGAAATTTGAATATGAAACAACGTTTCCCTACTGGTTAATCATTCTGTATGGTAACTGTGCTCTCAATATCATCATCCTACTGTTAAAGCCGCATGACATATACTTTACTTGGCTTTATCTTATTTACTAAATATTCTTGTCAATTTTATGTCAGAATAATTTAACCACTTACCAACACTTATTTTTTCATGAAATCAATTATGGGAAAAGTATTTAAGAAGGAAGTAACTGCCGTATGCTTCTGTTACTGCACATCTGTCTAGGAAAGGATAAAAGTCCATTTCCAAACCATCTAATGTCGATCAATTCTTCAGGGAAAGTCAGTTACAAGTGTAAGCATTTACAACCTCTACTAATATGCCCAGGAATAGACTCTCCATCAAACTTATCTCAAGGTCAGACCGTGCAATGTTGTGGAAATTACAAAAAACTCAAAGTGGAGATGTTTGGCCAGAATGAAGAGCATCAACTGCGAAGCATGGTGGTGGAGGAATGATGATCACGGTGACTCTGTCATGGAGTCGACGATGGTCTTATGTAGAAACAGGACAGTGATTACAATGGTCCAGTCCAAGTCCAGGTGCCATCCTGATGGATAGTGCTGTGTGACACATTAAAAAAGCTGTGCAGATGTCGGCAAACTGATGTGTTCCAAACTTCCTCCATAATGACGTGAGAGACCAATAAAGCCAGTCACAAAACGCTGAATATGAGTTATAGCTGCTTAAAATCATTCTACAAGCTGTCAAATCATGGGGTGTACTTACTTTTTCTCATAGCTGTAATTTGGTTTAATTGTCTTCTTGAAGTGTAGTTGTGTAGAGGGATTATAAACTGACAACATCTCACCTTCCATCGTCTCTGACTGTCATTATTACTGCAGGTATCCTCCCTCCACACAGTGACTCTCACTCTTTGGTTGGAGGCTACAGGAAGGAGCAGTACCAGGACATTGTGGAAGCTTTGGAGGTGATGAGATACATCAACTCATCTACGCCCTCCACCCACATCTACCTACGGATGTTCCAGCTGGAAAGCCAGGTGCTCCCGCGATGCTCCGAGACCTTACCGCCGGTGAGATGTAACACTCTGTGGATCAGCGCTGAACTGACGCTGCATACACTCTTATCTTCAGGAAATGATTCATTGAATAATGGCTCGGTTGTGGTCCAGATTTTACATAATTAAAGCTGAGCTCCATCACACTTGGAATTTGAAGCTTTTTTTTTATTTTATTAGCAACGTACTGAGTTATAGCCAGCTAAAACCAGATATCTCAAAGAGTTGTTTGTGAAAGTCATCAAGACATAACCAACTAAATTAAAAGCATTGGTGCCAGTAATTGCAGAAGCAAACCCCACATTCTTGGGTTTGTCATGGGAATGAGGTTTTAGATCCCCCAGCTTGTCTCTCCTGATTTTATTGCAGCAAACCAAAATATGTTTGAAACGGCAAACGTCTTGCCTCACACTTCCCAAGCGTCAGGCTAGAACTGCTGGAGGGTTGAGGCAACACCCCAAACATGTTTGTATGATATCATGGAGAAATAAAAAAAAATAAATAAATCTGCAAAGATAATCAGGAAGAGAACAGTGAACTTCCACAAGGCGGATTCATTCTTTGGTGCAAATATCAGATGCCTTAAGATGCAATGTTCTTCTGTTTTAACATTTATCCACAAGAATAAACATTTGAGAATGTTGTGCCATAATAGGGTTTAGGATGAAGACAGGGTCTGTGTCTCAGAGGTAAAGTGTACATATCAGTCCCAGAGCAAAAGCAAACAGACCTTGTGAAGAAGCTGGATGAAGCTAGTGAGAGGTCATATCCAGTAAACCGAGTTCTGAAAAACTACTGAATGAGGAAGAAAGAACCACTCCAAAACCAACATAAAATGCCAGATTACAGTTTGCAAATGTATTCAGGTGCAAAATTAAAATGTGTGATTCCGTGCTCTGATGTCAATAAATTGCACTGTTGTATTTGGAGGGGGAAAAATAGACATGCTTACATACCTGAGAACAGCAACCCTTCATGTTGTGAGGATGTTTTACTGCAGGAGGGACTGGTGCATTTTACAAAATAGATGCCATCATGAGGTGAAAACATGCGAATTATGTGAAAATGAACATTGGTTACACATGGTTTTTGCAAATGGAACCTAAGAATATCACCAAATCTATAAGAGAGTGTCTTTTGAACAATAAATTCAGTAGTTTGATGTGACCATTTAAAAAAGCCTTCTTATCTCAGTCTCAGAAAATTTGTGGAAAAAGCTGAAAGGAAAATACTAAAGAAATGTCTGAAAAGTCCTGAATTTGTCAAATTCTCTTAATTTCTCACATTATTTTGGCATTAAGCAGATAGAAATAATCTTGGTAAAACTACAGGATATAAAATAGGAAAAAATTTAGTCTGACTTAATAGTAAATTCACACTGCAATACTGGAGACTCCAGCACGTACAAAGGTTTGTTTTGCTAAATATTGCTGTGTTTCATTTCCAGAATGACGAGAATGAAGACTTCCTGGCCATCAGCAGAGCCATGGAGGAGATTGTTGACGATTCCATCGACTGCTACTGGCTGATCAAGTGTTTCATAAATCAGTTCCACATTAAGTTTGGAGACTCGCTTCCTCACCTCGTAAGTGTTACTTGTGACTCCGAGAAAAACTAACATGTTTTCCAGCTGAATTTAAATTTTGAATTTGTTTTTAAAACATGAAATAGGTCATTTTACGGCTGGATCCACCCGATTAATTTTAGATGCAATAAATGCATAAAAGCTCAGCAAAGTAACCCGTCCTTACCTTTTTTATTCTTTATTTGTAAATTACAAGACGTACAATGTTGGAGTTTTCCACTAGGAATTTTGCCTGTATCGCCCATCCAGTAGAAAGTTGTCTAAGAAGTATTAACTGCTCTTGAATCGATACTATTTTGTATAAATGAGGCCATAAAATTAAGTTCTGCAATAGTTTCCATCAGTGCTAAGTTTTCTTCTTATTTTTGGGGTTTGCTCTGTTGTAGCCAAAGAGTCTGGAACATTATCTGAGTCAGGAGGAACCTCGGCTGCTGAACCACCTGAGGAGCGTCGGGGCGCTGCCTCAGCTGCCGTACAGCCTGTGGTTCAAGCGCTGCTTTGCCGGCTGCCTGCCTGAATCCAGCCTGCAGAGGTCAGTTTACAGCCATCACCCTAATCCTACCAAACCTAGACAGTACATCAATCTATTCACAGGTTTTTTGACAAAATGTTCAAAGTGGTCTTGCTGCAAACTAAGAAACAACAGGAAATGCAGTTGTTTGGGATTAACTTATTAGAAAAGGTTTCATTTTCCTTAACTGCATCACTTGAAGATGCCAAGAATAATTCCTTGTGGCTCATACTATCATGTTACTATTTCTGAGGCCTTTAAGTGTTTATTTTTATTTATTTATTTTTTTACAGGGTGTGGGACAAAGTGATCAGTGGCTCCTGTAAGATCCTGGTTTTTGTCGCCCTGGAGATACTGCTCAGCTATAAGATCATGTTAATGGGCCACACCCGGCCAGAGGGCGTGGTTAAGTTCCTGTGTAATGTAAGAAAAAAAAAAAAAAAATATATATATATATATATATATATATAAACTTGCCTCTGTTTAAGATCTTAATCTTTGTCTTCCAGATACCTCAGGAAAACACAGACGCTATCGTCACCAAAGCCATCGATTTGTGGCAGAAATACTGCGGCAACCCGAACCACGCCGTGTAGCCATGTCGACTCAGGACTGCAGCAGGAATCCTGCCTCCTTCTACCAGGAGACCACAGCATTCTGTCTGATGGGATAATTTCTGCCGAGCTTAACCCAAAACTCATCAGGAACCCCTTCTGATGAGGATTCCAAAACATTTTTCTGGATGTCATCTCCCAACTGAGAACACTACAAACTGTAATGGGACGGACAATGAAGTTGCGATGAAGACTGAAGAACTACCAATTATGGATGTGGATTTCTTTCTAATTAAAATCACAAACACAAACGTGCATTTTTTTTTTTTATAAGTTTCTTTTTTTGTTTAAGAAATGCCATACATCATCGAATACTCACAATAAATTAATATCAACATGCAGTTCTCCGTTTACAAAAAGAACATTTGAAAATCCTTTCGGTTTATGTACATCCTCTTAGAAGTCTGAGAATATTTTTCCTCCCAAAACAGTTTCAAACATACAAGAGGCAGCAGGAACACTGACTCTTATTCACACACAAAAACACACACACACACGCAGAGTTAAATAAATCCTCAGTAACACAGCCAGAAGTACAAATTTGTGGATGCAGTTTGAGCTGTAAGGTGGCAGGTTTCTCATGTTTGATTTTAAAAAGGCGGATCCCAGACAGTTCAGTCACTTAGCTGCGTCAATAACTAGTATTCAATTTTAAATAGTCATTTGGCAATTCAAAAATTATTGTAAACACTACTGTAGGCACAGTGACGCAGCAGATTACCGAACTCTGGCGAGTTAAAATGTAAAATTTCTGGGAGTCGATTTGGTTTTTGATTCTGATTTCAGGACAAGTTGGCTCAATTTTTAGACTAATGTGTTCCCTCCAAATGCCAACGAAGAGGATTATAAAATAATAATAAAAAAAGAAACACTGTTCCCTTCCACAAACTTGGCACAGATTCCCCAACATCAGAAGTGTGGCAAAATTAAATATTCCCTCCTCTTCATCATAAAAATGACAGTTAAAAGCTTTTGAATATCAAGAAGTCATCAAAATTCCCATTGAGGGAAAACAACAGTTCTGAATTTGTTTCTTTTTCAGCCCAACAAACCTCCAACATCTGAAAGTTTTTGCTCCTACTTCCTGACTCAAACAGGTTGATGCCGATCAGCAGTTCGAGGGCAGCGGATACTTTTTTTTAAGATTAAGGTCTTAAAAATGTGGCAGCAGAAGTGCAGACTACGGCCGATGAAACCTGCAGAGGGGAAAGATTAAAATAAATTCTCAATCTGTTAATGAAATATGTAAAGACTCACAATATTTCCTGGTAAAGAACAAAAATTCTATGTGCACAGCCACACAAAAAGGAATAATTATCAAATGCAGCTTTGCAACATCTAAACCAAGGAAAATGATCAAAAGTTTCCATAAAAAAACTGAAGTAATGTAACGGAGCAACTCCGACATGTTGCTACCATGAGCGGCGCAATTCCACAGCCATTCCTCTTAAACTCTGTACTTTTCCTGCAGCCTCATTTGTGTTGCTGGGTTATGATCAAACAGTAAAGCAGTGGCGTCTCTGCTGCACCAATCTGGCAGCCAAAAGTAATTTCGGTTTCAGAAGTTTCCTGATAGGACCTTCCAGTTTGGAAGATGATTGGAACGTTCATGCTTGGCTGCCTTTAATTATGATTTAGGTACAGAGTCAGCAGCTTGAGGCTGACCAAGTGGAACTCAAACTGATAATAGTTGTGTGTCGTGTAGAACAGCAGGACTTTCACCGACTACTGCAGGGTCATTTAACGGAGTTTTTTCACAAACCTGGTCAGATGGCGGCTCGACTCGTGCACCTCCATCTCTGTGCTTTTAAACTCATTCAGCTCTTTTCTGATGGCAGCCTGAGGACAAACAGAAATGCACAGAAACAAATACAACCCGATTAAATCCAGATTTTATTTTAAAAAAGTGCTGTGAACTATTTTTCCCCTCACTTTAAAGGTTCAATTAAAACTAATTTTACTGCAGACAAACATAAATTGGGTAGACACAAAGAGGTTTATTTCTTTAAAGCATTGCAATTTCTAAGTCATTGTGTCTCCAGAAAATCACAGTCATTAACAACAAATAGAGAAAAAAATGGAGCAAAAATGGAGTTATCAAAGGAACCAACTACCAAAATTACGTTTTAGTAATTCATCAGTTTGTGAAAATAAACTCAAAGTGTACTTTGGTAATGCAACAACGATTCCAACGAAACAGACTATAGCATGCCCACTTCTCAATGGCTTAAAGAAACCCAAATTAAGGTTATGAAGTGGCCTAGTCAAAGTCTGGAGCTGCCGGATGACAAATACTTTTTTACAGTGCTGTGTGCTTCAGTTCTGTTTTGTTTTGTGCTTTAACCGGACCTTATCGGCTGCTGTTAACCGAGTCCATGGTTTGTCTGCTCTCCTGTCATAGTCCTGAGCTTCAGCGACTTCCACGTAGTCGCTGAATCGAATGAGGATCTTTGCCTCCCTCAGCTCCTCCACTGTGGGCCTGTTGCTGAGCTGGACGGCGGAAGAAGAAAAAAAAACAGACGACGAAATATTTTGCATGAGAAAGGAAGTTCCACAACTACGCACTCATTTCAAGTGAAAGGAAGCCACCAAGTTAAAAGAAGCAGTTTAGATTCACGTTGTGTGTCGGCTTCTCCCTAAAGCGTTTCAATCTGCTGCTTATTGTGCTGAAGTTGCATGTTTTTAAAAGCAACAGGAACTACACTGTCAAGAAAACACTAAATTTGAGTTGTCCCAGCCAGCGCTACATTTCTTTCATCAGATCCTCGCATTCTTCAATTTGTAATTGATTGTCTTTGTTCATTCTGTCCCTCTCTGTGGAAAAGGGAAGAACCAGTTTATCAGTATGCTTTCCAACACCTGAGTCCAGGGAGCTCTTACGAAATTCAGGTCATTAATGTAGCTTTTGTTGATTCCAGATGTTTGGGGTTGAATGTGCAAAGTTTGGACGGTCAATCATCTCAAAATTAAAATAGATTAACAGATTGGCTTTTATTCTGAGCGGAAATAAATAGCAGTCTAAATTCTCATTAAAAAGTACAATAATTTAACTGAACAGTATTTTGGTCTAAATTGGAACAACAGCTGTAATAGATACACAAGAATTGATGGACCTCTGACTGTGTTTGATTGTTAAGGTTGTTCTTTAAAATTCTAATGAATTTGTCTCTACCAGCTAACAACCAGCTTCTCAAAAACTGATATTAAAATATTATGTGCAGATATTCTACTTTAAAAATCTCAGTCTTAAAACTATTTCAGCTTGAAATACCAAATGCATTTTTATTTTTTTAAGTCTAGTCCGTTTACTGAACGCCACCATTTTTTATTACTAACTTTTTACAAAAGTCCACTTCTTAAATATTAAGTCCTAAAGTATTGAATCATAAAATATTAATATTTTTCCACTTTAAAGGAGTCAGCCGTTGAAAATCTAAAATCTACTTCAGAATATCTACACAGCCAAAAAAACAAAACAAAACAACAAACAAACAAAAAAAAAACAAAAAAAACAGCACAGGTTAAATCAGGTTCATCTCATCAGGTTTGTAGATTACCAATAGTAGTTTTTCCTGCATGTCTTACCTTTTTGGATAAATGTCTCTTGATCTCTCTTTTCTCTTCCTGCTCCTCCAGATCATTTCGAGCTGGGAGCAACACAAAACAAACATGTCAAAACACGAGCGATGAATAATAACCTGTCACTGAAATTGCAAAGCCACTCACGTTTCAGAATGTTTCTCTGTTCCAGCTCCTCTGCTGTCGGCCTCTGACTCAACCGCCTGAAAAGGAAGAAAAAGTCCACACTTTAATTTTCACATGCTGGTATGCAATATCAGAACCACAAGCTGTTCTTATTTCAGAAAGAATGTTATATACGATGGAGGATGGATAAAAAAGAAATGGAAAATAGATTATTAATAAACGCTTCTATTATGTTCTTTGATCAAACAGAACATTTGCATCACAGCTTAAACTGCAGATCACCATGAAACATCAGCAGAGATGAAAGAAGCAAGAACAGATTAGTTGTTAGTGAAGTACATACTGTGCCATCACTGTAGCTTTGAAGTATCAGGATGTAAGATCAGCTCTCTATATAAAAAAAGACTAATATATAGAGAGATGTCCTATTACATAAAGTATAAAAACGTATGAAAAGGACTTGTTTGCAAAAATGAATTTTCCACCGATTAATAAAAAGTGTATCTTTGGCATACAATATTTTCGCTAAAAAGTTATTTCTGTTATTTGTTTGTTTCTTAAGTAATCAACTTCTTGAATGGATATAGTTAGAATCTAAATCTGTAATAGGCATAAATTGGGCTCAACTACATGAACGTTAGAAATAAAATGAAAGCACACAGTTCAGAGTGTCGGATTTTACTTTAAACAATGAGATGTTATGTCAAGCAAAGAACAGACACTTTTTTGTTGAACATAGTGAAAGAAGAAAAAATAAATAAATTTTGGTATTGCCTACCAAAAAGGAAATAGTTGCTGAATCAATTTTTTTTTGCAGTTTATCTATGGGTATTCTTATTTTTCCCTCGTTTAGAAAATGTGGGATCATTTAGTGATGTTGCAACCTCCAACTGGACCACTAGATGTCAGTAACAGCAACACGCTGAACCTCTAATTCCACACTGACTCACCTTTTTTCTCCCAAACCTGCACACTGATGTTCACTTTCTATGTCATCAATTTGAATCTTCACCTCTTACTCTCTTTCTTGTCTTTCAGTAAACACTGATTAAACTCTGAGTCGAAGCCTCACCTGGTCAGTTTGGTGGCGGTTTGTTGCCGGTATTCCAGACGCTCCTGGTCCGATTGCATCGGCAGGATGTTCTTCTCTTGCAGCTCTCTCTTTGATGGACGGTTACTGAGCTTGATGGCCAGAGAGTCTTTCCGTAAAACCTTCATGGCCAGCGTACCTTCAGCAGAAAAAAGTAAGAATGTCATTTCAGATTGCAGGTTCAGACTAGGCTTTTTTTTTTTTTTTTTTTTTTTGCTCCATTGTTAATATTACAGGGTGTTCAGGACTAATTTGCAAGATGCTGGATGCTCAGTTTACTTTTCCTGTGTAGGCAAACACTGTGGAAGGTTTTCAAACAACATTCCAAATTTGTTCTTCATATTTTTTTTTCCCCCTTTGAGAGTTCTTCCTTTGGGTACTTTCCAGTAATTTATTGACTTTTAGTAATCTAGTATATTACATTAAATGCTGATTATCAGCACAACACACAAATCTCTATGTAGAAAAAAGAAAGCGGCTTACTTGTAAGCAGTGTATCGTCATCTTCTTCCTCCTCATCTTCATCATCTTCTTCCTCTTCATCATCATCATCGTCGTCCTCCTCCTCCTCCTCTTCTTCTTCTTCTTCTTCCTCGTCCCTGTACATGCCAGGCAGCTCTTCGTAGTCTGCCTCATTTGGGAGATTTTCTTTATCGTCGTCGCACTCGATCATCATGGCAGGAACAGTGTGCATCATGGAACTGCAGTAAAGTGAGCAGGTCAGATGTCAGAGGTCAGCCAAGTAAATAAATCCTTAAGTAATAATGTGACAACAGCTCAGACTACAGACAACATTCAGACTATAAAGTATGAGTTAAACAGAAAATGCAGCAGAAAGTTTCACCCAGCTGAAACTGGAGCAAAAGTTTCAACAGTTTTGAATTAAAAAGAACAAAATACATTTGGATACAAGCACAAGAAGCTCATGTGTGGATTTAATGTTTGTGAGAAAGTTTATCAAACTGACAAAGGAGAGTCTTGAAGGAGAGAAAATTTTCATGCAGTTGAACACATACAGATTTTTTTTCCATGGCTACCACGTCCTCACCTCTCAAACCTCTGCATGGTGAGGGCAAGCGTCTTGTTGAGTTCCTCTATGATCCTGCTGGGCGGGTGCAGGGATACCGGCAGCGCCCCATACTGCAGCGAGTGTCCGCCCATCCCAGTGTGGCTGGGTGGGCCGGGGCACTTCTGGAAGGCAAGAGGAGAGGGCTCCAAGCACCCCGCGGGAACGGAGATCAGGAGCTTCTTCGGAGGTAGAGGAGGAGACAGCTTGGCTGACATGCACGGCAACTTCACAGGGGTGCCGTCTGCGAGAGGAGGAGGAAGTAGCAGAAAGAGAAACATGGACACCGATTCATGCACGGAGAAGAGCTCACCTGTGATGTGATTGGGGAGTCTGCTGAAAGGTTTGGGTGGAAGAGCAGGCGGTTGTTTGTGTAACGTAGGAGGTCTTGAGCGGGGGGATTCTGATCCGTCAGCAGGAAACGCTGCCGAGGCCTTTGCGGGTGGAGTCGGGTTGGAGTTCTGGGCCTGGTCTGGTTGACATGTACCCTCGCTTTGCATTTGAAACTCCAAACATCCGGCTGTGAAATAGCAACAGCGAGCGGTCAGAGGGCGCTACGTTTGGCAAAACCAAACAGATGACGGCGGTTGAGGTTTTGCTTCCTACCTACAGCGGCTGTCGCTCCTTCCATCAGCTCAGGGCCTTCAGGTTCAGATGGGATAGAGCTGAGCGCTGGGGAGCGACCGTTCTCCATCTTCACCTCCTCCCTGAGAACTGGAGAGGATGTCCCATCTACAGAGGGAAAGACAGAAAATAGAAACCAAAGCTTTAGAAAGGCTGCTTTCATCTCCCAATACACAACTGCTATCTTGTACATTGGGAGGGACACAAATTTAAGTTCTCTCTGCTAGTTCACCATGTATTACATTCACATCACTTTACCTGATGAACTTTAAGTTGTGAAAAATGCATGACTTTATTTTCAAAATTTGAAAATGAAGTTTATTCAAATATAAAATTTAAACAAAAAAGTAATTAAAAGGAATTAAATAATAGTTATCTCTCTAAGCAACTCTTTTTTTCTGCTAGTTTTGACAATTTGAACCCAACAAAGACTTATAGCCTGTCATGCATTTTTAAATATAAAGAGCGCATGAATAAAATATTGTCAAAATGACTGAAAATAAATATAAATGTAGGGAAGTACAAGCTTCATGCTAAAACAATATATATATATATATATATATATATATATATATATATATATATATATATATATA